CTTTTCTTTTTTCAATTTAATATATAATTTAAGGGCTCATCTAATTGGTAAAACACCAAAATAAGATGCACAGCAGTTTAGCAGCATCTTTGCTTAATGGCTGGATATAGATCTAGTGCTTCTAGAACTCACTGAGGGACGGGGTGGAGGGGGACTCCATTTCTAAGGTGTATGCAAGTGATCAGAAACGGTAAATTGCCCTATAAAGGGTTAAAGTTAGAAATGAACATGCATGTCATTTATTATTTGTATTCAATCTGAACCTTTACTGGGTTATTCTAACACACAACTATGTTTAGATCTAAAGCAAACTGTTGTAGCTCTGGTAGGATTTATCCTATCCGATCATTGGATCTCTGCAGCTTCAGAAATACCAGAGGGCTCTTGGCTGTTTGCTATATCAATTCAGTTCAATACTTTCCTAATCTAAGGAGAAATTAACTCTTAAACTAAGTCAAATTAAATGCAAATGTCATGTCTAATGTCCCTGAAGCAGGTTATATCAGATTAAATACATGATTACAGTAGACTATTTAAGATGAAATGTTCACAGAAAAATCCAACATTGCATGACTGAAGCTGTCACACCTCATATGTTTATTTATCTGCTCCGCAGGTGTCTTTCATGGGAGCGGAGGGAAGAAGAGACCTGGACAGACAGAGTCACTCTAAATGTCTCTGTGGAGGGAGGGATCATGGTAACATACAAATAAGAGTCTCTGATGAGGGGGGGTGGGATGCCACTGTAGTGTCACTGGTGTTGTTTTTGTTTTTCCAGACAAACGTGAAACAGGAGCAGATCATAGTGGTGAAAGAATACACACCGAAGGTAATTTGATGATGACTAACAGGAGCAGTTTTAGCTCAAATCAATGCATTAATTGGCTTTGTAGGGGTTAACCTGCAGTGCTGGGTTTGTGAGTAAATAATTAAAACTCAGTATAAATCTCTGTATATGGGTATTGTCGTATCATTAAAGATATAGTGGAGGATGTTCTTTTTCCGGGTGGATCATCAACATAAGTGGTCATCCTAATTGTCGATCTTTCTGGTGATATGTTTACGTAAGGCCGTCCTACGTGGTCGTCCCCATTTTTACTTAACGGGGGTGAGTCTGGCATGGTGGAAAAATTGCAAATCTTCTTTTGGAAAGTAAGCTTGTATGAGCGATGCAAACTGCAACTTTTAAACAGAGCGTGCATGGGCGTTCACTCTCAGTATTATTTAGATGAGCTGTGGGCTGATTGGTTGGTTTACAACGAGAAAAGCTGCAGACATAGCAACAAGCACTCACTCACTGAAACATCAAATTGTTGATATGCTAGCATTGCTATCAACAGCTTAGCGGCAGAATCATACTTGCAGCTTGCGATATTGATGGCCTTACGGTCTAAACAGCCCCTCATCTCAGCAAAAGAAGTTTAGCAAATCCTGCTTTGAACTGTCCAAGATTTGGAAAGCTGTCATCGGTAAAATGCTTAGAGAAAATGAACAGCTGAGCATTAGGGCTGGGTAAAAAAATCGATTTGGATCGATTCCTTTACATTTTTTCAAAATCCATGTCTAGGGAATGAGATTGATTAGTTTTATAGTGACGCTCGTGATGTTCACACTTAAATAAGTAGGAAAGATGCTCTCAAGATGACTTCAAGCCAGACAGCTGCAAATATAGCCAATAGGCTGATTGAAGACATTAACAAATGGGGGCTGACCAGCAAACACCCTGTAGTTGTTACAGACAACGCTGCAAATATGGTTTGTGCACGTCTGCTTGCTCGAGTGAGGCTTCACTTTTTCACTTTTCACAAACAAGTTTGCACTTATGAGTCAGTTTTGTTCACATCTCAAGTTTAAACTGTCTGATTTCCGAGGTTTGCACTTTGTGTTTAATATGACAGGAAAAAAATAAAATACATGAGTATTTTGAAGCACAGTTGAACCACTTTCATTATTGTAAAAACAGATCGAATTGAAATTAATCGATTTAGAACTGTATGAATCAAAATCGAATCAATTCAGGACTTTGGCGAAAATACCCAGCCCTACTGACCATCAAACTTTGCAGGGATCTTCTGCTATGCATAAATAATCCATGCTTGTTGAGTCTTTGGATCCTTGGAAAAACTTTGAGAATTTTCCCCGTTCTCCCTGGAGCTTGGAACACTTTCATTTACTGTATGTCAATTTCGGGGCTTGACAAAAGTACAGGCCAGAACCAAATTGAAGCCGTAATATTACGAAAATATAGTTTTATTTTATGACAACTCTAACAAGAAGCACTTTTTTCCGTAAAATGAGGAATGTCGAGCATCATGTGAAGTTCTACTTTGGCATTGGTTTGACGAATGAGGAAATCTTTTAGTGCACCAGCGTCAGATTGGGCATTAGGTCAAAGTGAACTATGGTTGCTGTTTGGTGGAGCTGGTTGACCGTCATATGATGGTCGGAGCTCAAAGCTTTCTATCTGAAATGGGTTGTGGTAAGATGAGTTCATTCTCGTCATTTTCAACTTTATTCTCATTCTCATACGTTATTCTCATATATTACGACTGTATTCTCATATATTACGACTTTACTCTCATAATATTACAACTTTATTCTCATATATTACAACTGTATTCTCATATATTACGACGTTATTCTTATATATTACGACTGTATTCTCATTTATTACGACGTTATTCTTATATATTACGAAGTTATTCTCATATATTACGACTGTATTCTCATATATTACGACGTTATTCTTATATATTACGAAGTTATTCTCATATATTACGACTGTATTCTCATATATTACGACTGTATTCTCATATATTACGACTTTATTCTCATAATATTACGACTTTATTCTCATAATNATTACGACTTTATTCTCATAATATTACGACTTTATTCTCATAATATTACGACGTTATTCTCATATATTACGACTTTATTCTCATAATATTACGACGTTATTCTGATATTACGATTTTATTCTCATAATATTACGACTTTATTCTCATGTATTACGACTTTATTCTCATAATATTACCACGTCATTCTCATATATTACGATGTTATTCTCATATATTACGACGTTATTCTCCTATATTACGACGTTATTCTCCTATATTACGACTTTATTCTCATATATTACGACGTTATTCTCATATATTACGACTTTGTTCTCATATATTACGACTTTATTCTCATAATATTACAACTTTATTCTCATAATATTACAACGTTATTCTCATGTAGTACGGCGTTATTCTCATAATATTACGACGTTATTCTCGTATATTACGACTTTATTCTCGTATATTACGACTTTATTTTCATATATTACGATTTTATTCTCATATATTACGACTTTATTCTCATATTATGACTTTATTCTCATAATATTACGACTTTATTCTCATAATATTACGACTTTATTCTCATATATTACGACGTTATTCTCATATATTACGACGTTATTCTCATATATTACGACTTTATTCTCATATATTACGACGTTATTCTCATAATATTACGACTTTATTCTCATATATTACGACGTTATTCTCATGTATTACGACTTTATTCTCATATATTACGACTTTATTCTCATATATTACGACTGAATTCTCATATTACGACTTTATTCTCATAATATTACGACGTTATTCTCATATATTATGACTTTATTCTCATAATATTACGACTTTATTCTCATAATATTAAGACTTTATTCTCATATATTACGACTTTATTCTCATAATATTAAGACTTTATTCTTTTGATATTACAATTTTATTCTTGAAGTTAAAAAAAATCTCTAGACTGACCGTTATACTCTGTTGTGCCTCTACAATTTGAGTGAAATGCAAAAAAATGTGTGCTAACAGAGATGTCAGGTTGTACTAACACTTTTTGATTAAATTAATAAAGATAATTATGATGAATCCTCTTAAAGCTAAGTCTCCTATCGGTTATAATTAATTGGATGAATTTTCTGGAATCTACGGCCTAAAACAGTTTTTCTGAGCTCTTATTACAAATACAAAGGTATCAGTCAGAAGACATTTTACAGTGTAATAGAAAGTATTAGTTTAAGGGTGTGCAAACAGCTCCTGTTTATTTTACCATAGAAACATTTTTTCTCCATTTTCAAAATAATTTCCGATCTTCTTATCTTGTAGCCATGTTTAACTTTTCCTTTTTTTCTGTTATTGTTGCAGAACTCCGCTCCCTGCGCAGACCGAGAGCCCGGTGGCAAGAGAAAGAGAGAATACACGGCCGAGGAAGGTGGTGGCGATAAGACGTCGAAAGCGAGGGGAGAAGAAAACGTTTGTCCAAATGGCGTTAAGGAGAAGGGGACGCCTGTGAGAAAAGTCAAAACTCAAGCCAAAAGCATCCAGAAGCTGTTTGCTAACGGAGAAGATGCTTCTCAGGCGAAGGCAGCAGGTGGGGGCGGGATTATTATGAGAGGATCACGTCCCCAAGAGGGACGTTTGATATGAAAGTGTTAAGTTTGTTTTTGCTGTAAGCAAAACCTGAGAATATAAAACCAGCTTTGTTTCTCTCTTCCATCTGTTCTCTCGATTTTCTTTTCCAGGTAATGAAGCCAGCGAAGCGGAGGTGGTGGTGGGAGGAACGCCTCCTCAGAACGGAGCCAGGATGAAGAGTCGGCAGGCCAAGACTCCCACCCAGACATGTATGTTTTTGTTTTATTAACAGCATAATTAGATGAGGGAAGGTTGAGTTTTTGTTGAGGTTTAAACTATTTCTGTGCTGAGTTGGCCATTTGTGGTGCAGCAGAGTAAAGCATATTGCTTCAGCAATGTTCAAACTAAATAAATGTTTACAAATCTTTGCTGATTTTTTTAAAAATGTTTCTCTCTTTAGCCTCTCTGGTGGGCCCATCAGGACGCTGGGGTCAGACTTTATGTCCCATCGATGCTCAGACGGCCATCTTAATCGGAGGTCAAGGAGCCAGGATGCAGTTCTGCAAAGACCCCATGTGGAAGCTCTGCACAGGTTTGCAGCGTTTTGGAAACGTCTCTTTGTGTTTTAGAATGTCTCTGTAGGACGTTAAGGTTTCTGTTCTGCATCAAACAGAGGATATGTCCTGGGTGCCTGCGGAGACTCTGGCGGAGGGCCCCACTCCTGAGGCCAGGATCGGCCACTCGGCCATCTTTGACCCCGACTCTAAGCGGATCTTTGTCTTCGGAGGCTCTAAGAACAAGAAGTGGTTCAATGACGTCCACATCCTGGACACCCAGAGCTGGAGGTGGACCATGGTGGAGGTGTGCCTCATGTTCATGATCCATTTAAAAGATGCATAATTGTTTCCATCTGCAGGCTTGTTTATTTTCGTTACAACTTCCTCCTTTTCTATTAAAGAAAAAATAAATAAATAAAAGGTTTCCCTCCGGTGCATTGGTCCTCACCCTGCCCTCCCCCCATCGTTTTCTTAGTGTAGCTGTTGTAGCATAAGAGAAATGCTAAGTGAGATTCATAAAAAACAGATTGATATGCTTGATATTTATGGTCTAGCGACCTAAACATGTTCAGCACCTTGGACAGAGACTTCACACTCCTATAACCTTAAAACACAACGTCAGGACCACAAATCTAGATGTATTGTATTGGAATGGTAATGCATCAGGTTAAAGAGATGTTTTGTAAATTTTTTACTAAAAAAATATCTTTAAAGTAGTTTCTTTTATTTGACCCTTCCTAACTAAAACATTGTTTGATGAGCAGACTGATGCGTCGTTTCAGCACCAAAGCATCTGCGGTAGATAATGTTTCCTGTAGTTTGTGATCTCACATTTGTCAGTCACACAATATCCATATAAAACACTTTAAAGTTCAGTTCAAGGAGATTAAAATCCACTTTCTTCTCTGCCAGGCTCAAGGAAACGTCCCCCCTCTGGCCTACCACAGCTGCAGCATGTTCCGGGGGGAGCTGTTTGTGCTGGGCGGGGTGTTTCCTCGGCCCAACCCGCAGCCCGACGGCTGCAGCGACTCTTTATACATCTTCGATCCCAACCTCTCCATCTGGTACCAGCCCATCCTCACAGGAGACAAACCGTCCCCCCGATCAGGGTATCACGCCTGCATTCAGACAGACACGCGATTAATGTCAACACCCTGCATCTGTCTATATGGGCTTTTTTTTGTTGTTGTTTTTCCTTCAGCCACTCAGCCTGCGTGATCCAGGAAAGGTACATCTACGTGTTCGGGGGCTGGGACACTCCGGTCTGCTATAACGACATGTACATGCTGGATCTGGGTGAGGCAAACAGCTGCTGGGTAACACCGACTGCCAGCTCACAGGGTCAACCTATCATGAACTAAAATGCTAAAATTCTCCATGTCACTGTGTTTTTAAGGTCTGATGGAGTTCTCCGTTGTGAAAACGTCGGGAAAGGCTCCTTCGCCTCGAAGGTACAGTTACAAAGTAATAAAAAGGGAGTACCATTAAAGCTACTATGTGTAATTTTCAGGGGCATCTAATGATCAGACTGCGGCGACATGAACCGCCCCTCACTCTGCCTCTCCCCTCCAACAATATGGAGGCTGTCACGGTACAAAAACACTTCCTCAACATCCGCTTTACCTATCTTGTCACGAGGCTTCTTTACATTAGATTGCAGCATCTAATCCATGAGTTCTACTCCATAAGTCAAGTACATTGACAGGTATACAAATTAGGAGATGACAAAGTATTGTGAATTGACCACTGGTTTAGTGAAGGGGACCACAAAGACAAGCTTTTTTTAAATCAAAATGGAAGACAGAGAAAATAATGTTGACAAAAGGATAAAGCTGCAAAGGCTCTAAAGAGGATTGGGAGTGGCTTTTATAAAAGCTGTTTTAATTTAGCCCTAGAAAGACTGTTTCGTATCCTACCTCTCTACCTCACTCTACCCTGCCTTCAGACCTCTCTCTGCCCGGCGGACTAATCGGATCTTCGCCGTTCTGCTCCGATCCTCCGCTGTTAGCCTCTAGCCATCTTTCCCAGCAGGCCTCTTAGAGCTGCCAATGTGTAAGGGCAGGAGAAAAACACAAGTCCACTCAGAAAAAACCCCAACAACCGGTGATTTTTAAATCAGTCCTCTTCATAACAACCAGGCATTAGCCAGTTGTTGCTGATGTAGGTCTAGTTTACGTACATCATTTTATAAACAGTGTTTTATTGGTCTGTGTAGGATTGCATATAGGCCAACATGCTGCTCTCCCATTTGAGCATAATGAGCTCTACTGTCACTAGTTTGTCTGCTCTGGGCGGCCGTATTACAAAGGATGTCTGCGCCACAAATGGAAACCGGCTCCTATCCATTTATAAATAACAATTTCTAAGGCAAATTAAACACAAAGATTGACACTTTCGGTTCATATTTGATAATAAATAACACGCATGTAGATTATATATACCATTTATGTCAGTAAATCCGGTACTGTACCTTTTAAGTTACAACTTTTCATCATCATCAACAGGTGTAGTCAGACGATCTGAAATTTAAAAAATACTGTGTTGGGAGGATTTTTAAACTGAGAAACGAACATGTGTGTGTTGCAGCTGGCATGGCAGCGCCGTGCTTTCAGAGAACAAGTTCCTGATCCATGGTGGCTACAACGGAAACAACGCCCTCGGCGACGCCTTCATTTTTGATATTGGTGAGCAGTGGATTTGTTACCCTGATCTGCAGAGATTTTCAACGTCTGGATTGTCATCTAAGACTCTCTAACAGCCAATCAAGATTATTACAAGCTGTGTTTAGTGACTTCAGAGTTTGGCATTTCTTATCAGTAGATTACTTTAATTCATCAGGCGCCTGAAGAAAGAATAAATTTGGGCCTTATTAAAGGAACATTTTAACTATTCTTAGGAATAAACAGCAGAAATTGGATGGTTTGATTAAACATTTCTTACAGCATACAGTCTTAAAGCAGAATGGGCAAAGAGCAGGATCTCTGCCACCAAATCACTCCTTTGACCCTTTTTGGTTTTCTTCTCAGACACCAACAGCTGGACTGAGCTGAAGCTCCCTCAGCTTTCCGTCCCCAGGGCAGGACACTCCATCATCACCATGGAAACGCCTGCTCGCCACGGTTATTCGGAAGAAAAGAGCTCAAAGAGCTCCGTCTCCAGTAGAACCCTGTTGGTGTTCGGAGGAGGAGACAACGAGGGAACTTTCTTCTCCGACCTGATCAGCATTTCTGTCGAGGAGCTGCTCGCCGCGGCGTGAGGACCACGACCTTTCAGTTCCCTGCTAGATCCATTTTTTATTTTTTTTACAGTGCTGAAAATCAATACATATTAACAAATACCTGCAGGTGAGGTGTATTTTTTATGCTAAAATCTGTTCTTTATGTCTAAATAAAAGAAATGAGTTAACATCATTTATGAGGTTTGAAAGTGCACTGGCATTGAGTTTAAACACAAAGTAAAAATGTTTTTACATATAATCTTTTTGTAAATATGTTCAATGTGTTGTGATATAAATAAACCATTTTTCTGTCTGGGTTATAATATTTAAACTACAGCATATTACAGCCAGATACTCCTCTGTTTTCTTTTCTTGGCTTTATTCTTAATAAATGAATATCTTTTATTTTTATCTGTCTTTGCCTTTTATTTTTGTTCTCCATAAACTTCATTCATTCTTAGAGGCTAATCTAAGATCTGTAACAGTTAACTACTCCAACCATGAGTAATAGCCCTGGTTGTTGATGTGGATGTTACCGCTAATCTTAGTCTTCCCTCGACCCCATTGATTGTCACCCTACTGTGAAAAGTAAGAAAAATGAAGCTCATTAGTGCCTAATGGAAAAAAAATACAACCATCAGAATTCAGATGGCAGGCAACAGGAGGAATTGGTTTTTAAGTAACTACTAGCAAGGAAGAGGTCAGAAAGAAAGAGGCAGAAGATGATTTTTTTTTTTACAAGATGGAGATTTGGTTACACTGGACAGGCATATACTCTATATAAATTAGGCAATTATACAGAAAATTTGTTCTTTTTTGTGGAAAGAATTAAACAAACCTGGGGCTGGGAGATATCAGAATGTGAGAAGATATAATTTAGAACTAATAAAGAGTCATCTACTGCCATACATATTTTTTTCCAAAGTGTAACATTTTTCCTCTTTCTTGTGGCTTTTTTAGGTTTTGGGTTCAATTCCTGGCATGGGTTTTTCTGCATGGAGTTTGCTTGTTCTCCCTGTGCATGCGTGGGTTCTCTCTGGGTACTCCAGCTTCCTCCCACAGTCCAAAAACATGACTGCATGACTGCAGGGGCGGAGCTAGATGGGGGGCCAGGGGTGGCCATGGCCACCCTTAACCAATCATTGGCCACCCCTACCATTTATTTCCCTCTAATACAGACGTTGGCACCAGTGATACTCGAAACACTGTGGTTAATTATACTCATCAATATACTAACATTAAAGATGATAAACACAGAATTCATGCTCTTTTTAGAACTAGATTTTTAGTTATATGGGGTAAAGAGAAAATTATGTCTCTGCAAGTAATCTGGGAGTCTTCAGTGAAATTATAGATAGATAAATATTTTATTAAAAATGTATTAAATAATCAATTCATGTAGATATTAGTACATCTAAATATCAATTTTATGCAAAAGGATTATTAATAAAAGGATGTAAATTATGTCAATGGAAAAGATTTTCACCCCAGAACTCGAAACTAAAAGAATTTTATCCACTATACCTTTAATTTAGATGCCATGGTTGTTTAAATGTATGTGTCAATTTGTTAGCAAAGGCTGTAGGAAAGTATAGTAAGTCTTTATTTTGAAAATATGACCCTGAGGTTCTGCTGCTGATCCACTTTCGGCCACCCCTCAGTGTACACTGGTTATTGCCTGGCAACCCTGGCCAAAAATTTCCTGGCTACGCCTCTGCATGACTGTTGGGTTAATTGGCTGCTCTAAATTCTCCTTAACTGTGAGTGTGAATGGTTGTTTGTCCTGTATTTCTCTGTAATAGAGTAGCGACCTGTACAGGGTGTACCCCAACTCTCAGCTGGATGGATGTAAAGTTATTTATTTATTTTTTTTGTCTTAAGAAAACAAATATCGTATATATAATATATTATATAACGTAATATAGGATAAATAAATACATAAACTCGAACAGACAATCTAAGCTGCCTTCCATACCACTAGGTGGTGGTAATGGATGCCTCCGGTTTATTCCAAAAAGCCCAACGAAGAAGAAGGAGGGAAAAGAAGAAGAAGGATCCTTCCTGTAGCCGCGAGCTTCATGCTAGCGATTATTTTGCTTAGAATTAAGATTTTTTTTTTTACTTTTACATGTATGTAGTGAGCCTTGTTGTTTTAGTAGGGTAGTTCCCTCTTATTTATTGTTAGCTTAGTCGCTGTTAGCATACGCCATTGTTTTGTGCATCAGTAGTTAGTAGTGTTCTACGTTCATCTGGTAGCATGGGCAGAAAGTGCAGTGTGCTGGGCTGCATTAGCTCTGTAGGCTTGCACATCTTTCCTCAGGACTTTAAAATTAGGCAACAGTGGTTGCGCTTAATCGGCCTGGAGGATGACAGTGAACTCCCGCCCGGCGCTGGTGTCTGTAAACTACATTTTGCCCGCGATTCCTTCGCCAACTTGATGGAGTTTGAGATGGGCTTTGCTAAGAGGCTAATATTAAAGCCTGAGGGAATCCCCACCCTTGCTCTGCCTGTAGTGAGACAAAAGCCACACAGACAAGTGTCAAAGCTGCCGACACTGCTGCCCCGCCCACAAGGAGATAACAGACCTGAGGTCAGAGAGCAGACTAATGACAGAAGCAGCAATGATATATATAGCAATATTTGTGTGTGTGTGTATGTTTATGTGTGTGTGTGGTGTGTCTGTTTATATATATATATATATGTGTATGTATGTATGTTTCTATATATGTGTGTATGTATATATATATATATATATATATATATATATATATATATATATATATATATTTATATATATATATATAATGTGTATGAACATAATGTATATATATACAAATATAAGAATGAACGCCGGATTTGTTTGCTTAATTACAACATCAATCAATTCTGTCTGGGTAAAAATGTCCACAACTGCATTTTGGTTATTTATTCTCCAGGTGCACAGTATAGATATTTTAAAAACACTTTACAGTACAGTATTTTATTTGTTTGCTGTCTATGAGTGAGAGGCAGGGTACACCCTGGACAGATCACCAGTCCATTGCAGGACAACACAGACAAACCACCATTCCCAGAAGCCTAAGGAGAATTTAGAGAAGCCAATTAACCTAACAGTCATATTTTTGGACTGTGGGAGGAAACAGGAAACAGAGAACCAACACATGCTCAGGGAGAACATGCAAACTCCATGCAGAAAGAGCCAGGCCAGGAATCGCACCCAGATCCTCTTGCTGCAAGGCGGCAGTGCTACCCACTGCGTCACTGAGCATGTCTATTTAGTACAAGTTATTTTGATCACGAACATCATGTTCATATTCCCCTCTTGTTCATAATATACATTGCTAACGTCCTACACCATCATTAAGCCAAGTCTGTTTGCGTGCCAGCTTAATTTTTTTTTTCTTCAGAAATCAGAAATACACGAGAATATGTCACAAAAAATAATCTTGGTAGTAAATTGTACGTCTTATTATTTAATATTTATTTTTCCAGTCAAGAGCGACCAGAGAAATCGGCTGTCAGACAGATCACATCCTCACCAAACATGAATTCGTCCAGGCCAACTTGAAGCCTATTAGGAGAAGCAAAGGTAATTTCTTAGATTTTTCAAATCAGTTTTGACGTTTACTCTTCTAATTGTTTTAACTGTTTATGCTATTTAAAGGTATAGTGGAGGATGTTCTTTTTCCGGGTGGATCATCTAAATAAGTGGTTCCTCCTAATAGTCAATCTCTCTGGTGATGTGTTTACGTAAGGCCGTCCTACACGCTCACCCATATTTGCACTTACAGGTGGTGAGTCCGACATCGTGAAGAAATTTTGAACCTTCTGGAAAATAAGCTTGTATGAGTGATGCAAACAGCAACTTTTAAACAGAGCGTGCATGAGGAGAAACGGGCTCTCACACGCATTTAATAGGCGTTCCCTCTCAGGTGCGGGTACAGGGTTGTGCATGTGTATTTTTCTTTTAAAGTGTAGAAAAATGTGCAAAAATCCTCCACTATACTTTTCACCTCTGATATATATTTAGATTTTAGTGTTAATTCAAATTATTGCTGATCTAAACATGCTTTCTTGTGTTTTAATGGACACAGCCACCCAAGCGCGAGCCTTTAACCGGAGCGTGGCTTGTGAAACTGAGACTTTGATGGAAGCCCGTCTTCATCAAGTGGCCTTTATGACTCAAAAGAGAAAAAGGTGTGAGATGTCAGCCTCTGACCCCAACTTAAATGTAAATGCCACTTCAAGCTCTGTGAACTCTACAAGGTAAATACATATAAATGCAGTGTCCTTAGATTAGCATTTTTGTCTGGTTAGTAATGCCTTTTGTTCTGTATAGCTCGCCCTGTGAAGTTCCTCCACACAAAAAGAAAAAGTATGTCGTTCACGAGGATCAGTTGCTCGGACTTTTTCAAATCTGTCCTGCGTGCACCAATCGCTGTACTGTGGACACCACCACCACTGGCTCACTGCTTCGTGTCACACAGCAATGTCCCGGGTGCGACTACTTCAACCAGTGGTTCAGTCAGCCTACAGTGGACAGCGCCCCATCATGAAATCTTCATCTCCGTTCGGCTGTCTTTTTCAACTGATCGCCACCTTCTCAGATCTCCAAGGTAGAGCAATGATAATTTGTGTTTGGATGTTCTTGTTGACTGGTGAAATTAGTTTTCATACAGTAGTTCCTGGGAGCCTTCAACATGCAGTTACTGTCTGGTCAGTGCTTTTAAAGACATCAGGCTAACCCCCAGACTCCACATCATCTGTAACCGCTCCGCCCTGCTCACGTACGTCATGTGGAGCAGTTGCGCAGTCATGTTAATCAATGAGAACTCTTCCATATGCAAAGCTACTCCTCCGCACATCACCTTCCAAAATATGTCAAAATACAGAGCTGAGCTGTTTTTTTATCCGTTGGAAGCCAGCCAGGTAAAGATCCACCATTGTAATCGCACCAAACAGAAAAAAGAATGTTGAGAAGATCCGGTTTGTCAAAAATAGTTCAGTAACTACAAATTAGAGCATAATACTAATATATTCCCAAAAACTAAGACCGTTTAATTGATGCAAACTATTAGCACTTCAACATACCAGGAAGCAGATTTCTCATCTAATTATCCCAGGGTTCCTGCAGATCCTTAAAAAGTCTTAAAAGTCATTGAATTCTTCAACATAAAAT